CTTGGATAGAAAGCATTTGGCTTTCTTGTACAAATTTGAGCAGTCAGTTCACTGGTGTAAGCTCTCCAAATTTAGGCTCTTTACATCTACTGTTCCAGTTCCCTCCAATTTGAAGTATTTTCCCCTTAATTTCATCAGGCATCTAAGACTTCAAGTGTTTAATGCAGGAAAAAAAAAAACTTTTCACTTTGCATCCGTTTGATAAACAGTTTTGTTTTAGTAATGGATTTGTTACCAGATTTGACAATAAAAGAAAACTCAACTGTGTGTGTGTTAGGAACATGTTCCAAACAGACATTTTCAGTGACAGTGTTCAGAAGTGCATGACAGAGGCATGAACTGATGCCTGAAATAATTTCTCTTTAAGTAGAGCTCCCAGAAGAATAAAAAAATCTGAGTTTTCTAAGTTTCGTCAACAATCTGAGTAGACAAGGAAAAGATCGTTCTTTAAATTAACCTCCAAAAAGTATTCTCTGCAGACAGGAGGAAAATGGTTATTAATTTTTAATCTGCCAGTTGAGCAGTAATTTTGTCTAGCAAATCCTTGGTTAATTTTAAAACTGAATTTGAAGGTGGTTTATATAAATCTCTTTAAAGTGTACTCTTAACCAGAAGACGTTCCTTTGGAAGCAAAACCTATTTGCTATCTGTTATGCACATTCCTGATGGAATGGCAGGAACCAGTAAATACTGCAATTTGCCAGTAAATTGTTTCTTTTGCTTGTTTGTCAGGACTTTTCTGTTGCCAAGTTGTCTGCCCTATTTCGAGGACTGGAAAGGTGCTTTTGAACCAATCATTAGTTTGAATTAATGTTTCTAACATGTCGCTATAGTGATAGATCTTCCTTACAAGTCTGTTTTCAATCACTGTAATCTCCTTTTACTGTTAAAATTATGGATTTGCGAAAGATGTCATTACCGCTCTATATGTATAAAAACCTGATTTCCCAGTTACTGTAGAGAATCAGATCCCATGACAGTGCTCTAAAGTCAGTAAAATCAACTAGATAAGGGTGTACCTACAAGAGCAGTTTCATTTGACATGCCCTGCTTCTCGCCGTTCTGGCTCTCTTGCAGCAGAGTCCAAATCAGTCTTTTTGTAGAATTATCAAGATGTACGTGCAGCAGTATCTTGCTGGTTGTTGTTTCAGGTGCATCCCATAATAAACATTTGCAATATTAATATGCAATAGACCTATCCCCTATTAACGATTTTGCCTTTAAAAGCAAAATTTGGCACTAATAGTGTCAGTAAAAAGTCCACTGCTAAAACTGTGTGTTCTCTGGTGGACAGATTGTAAGATCTTTATGTGACATCAAGCTCCAAGCACTTACTGTCACAAACTGCTATCAGGTAAGGAAATTTCAACCGTGGAAATCTGTATATTGCCTTTTTCACAATGCTTGTAATTTTCATTCTACTGAACTTAAAGTGTCTCTCTTGTGAGTTCTTTAAGGGTTGAGTGTGGTTTTTTGCTAATAGTTTTACCTTCTTTCTATTATCTGTAGTGCTGATGTTCCAGTCAGTGTGTGAGACTTTCCACTCCTCTTAAAGACAAGGTTTTGGTTTAAGAAAAAACTGTCTCTTCCTGGAGCTGTTCTTCAGCATTTCCAGCTTTGACTATGCAAATGCTATCTAGTGTAACTATGGAGATAATTTTGTTTTTCCGATTAGGAGTTCACGTTGCTTGTACCTCCTGAGCCAAAATGCCATCCTCTGTTAATTTTTTAGCTGGCAGAGGCATCTATCTTCTTGTGTCTCTCCAAAGCTTTTGTGTGAACAACTGCTCCCAATAGTATAGATGTTCTAACTATAATATAACATGCTACCTGGTCTGGCAGTAACAGAAATCTCTATGTTGTTATAAGATCTCTTGCCATATCATCCTTACAAAATTTAATGCTGTATACAAGAGCTGTGGGGTTTCTCACTTGCAGCTAATGTGGAGTTATCTGCTATCATATCATGAAGCCTGCTTGCTTTGTGGTAGAGGAAAGCAGTGAGCTGTGTGACAGAGTAATGCTCAGTGTTCATCTGGAAAAAAACAGTTGACTACTTCCTGTAATAAAGTCAAAGGATTCTGAAGGACTTATCATATTCTTAGTACACTGCTTGGGGGAGGCAAAGGGGACAGGACAGATATGTTTGTGGTTATCAAAGTAGCTTAATCTCCTCAAAAAATGATTTCCCATCTCAGAATTAGATGATGCAGTTAACTGTGTCTTAGTCTCTTGTGTTCAACTGAGTTTCAGGTCTCAGTAGTGTATTCTTAAGTTACTTCTGCATTAAGTTATGTGTCTGGTGAAATGTACTCCTTCACAATTTCTATCTTAATTTTATCTTAGGATAAATTATGGATATAGAAACATCTTATGTTGTGATGTATTCAGTTTTAGCCCTTTGTAATTTCCATATTTTTTGTGTTTCTTCGGAGCTAAATATTCTGTAACAAAATCTGTACCTTTTCCCCAGAAGCATAGCAAATTAGGGCAGTGAAATATTCCACAATTAATATTCTGCTGTGAGGAAACAAGTTCTTCTCTTGTACTTAGCTGGTATTTGCATACACTGTGTGATTTTTACAAAACTAACATGTCAATGATTATTTGATTCTCCTTAATAAATATTTATTTGAGGCATCCAAACATCACAGAAGCCAGTTTCCCTCATATGCAAGCCAAGTGGTTAGATCTGCCATGTCATGGTCACAGTCACCTTCTTGTTTAGTCACTCATCTGTTTTGAACCACACTGGTCAGTCAGTCTTTAGTTTCATCCTCTAAACCTATAGGTCTGTGTTTTCCCAAGTAGAGTTTTTAGGACTTAAAGGTGGTCTGGCAAGCTGCGAGTTAGAGCAAGACCCTTCACAGAGGCCTTGACTATCCCATTCTGACTGTCCTTAACTCTGTCCTGACTGGATAAAGCCTTGTGTAGCCCGGTTTGATCCCATAACTTTAAGCAGGAGGTTGAACTGAGATCCCTTCCCGCTTGAAAGATGCTGGGATTATTGATTTTATGATCTTAAGTTAAGGAACAATTTTATATAGAAATTTGTACATTGGTTCTGGATAACCTTAGCAAGAGCTCTCACAGGAACTTCTGTACTTGCTGACTGTGACCAGGCTTTTACTGCGTTTGTCACCTCAGAGAATCACTTTACCTGAGTCATCCTGATGTTCTAATAGCTATGAATTGGTCAGTTTGATAAGTGCTTTGTAAACACTAAGGAATTTGTGAATGCTAATGAAACGGCTTTTCTCTCCTCTTTTAGTATAATATTTGCATCCACTTTTGCTAGTTCATGACACTAAGTGATACAGTATTATTGCCTATTCAAGTGTCAAAATCTTTTAGTGCAAATACCAAAAACAACGTATGAGCAGACTTTGAATGACAAGTGGTAGGAGTGGGACCTCTGACACGTTGAGAGGGACAGCTGTGCCTGAGTTGATGCAAGCTTAACACAAGAGTGCTTCCCATCTTTTGGGCCTGTGTGTACACCTTTACTGTGGTTCACATTTACTGTGTAGGCATGACTTAACTGAGCTGTGGGAAATTTGGAAGGAATTTACATTCAAAGGAATTACGGCTGTTTAGTTTGGACAGGGATCTCTTAAAGGTTGTAGGGAGACAGGGACTTGGTTTTCCATGTCTCAGCAGGCAGTTTAGATGCAGTCTGAAAGATTTGGGATTACTGGATGCTGACTTCCACTTGAACTTGACAAGAGGGGAAACCTGTGAGGTAGTAGGACACATGTGAGGTAGTGCTGGCTGCACCTCATTTTTTAGCCAGCATCTGCTTCTTCCTACCATTTTCTGTGAGTGTAGTGACTCTCTGATTAAAATAAGAAAACTACAGTAATGTACATTCTAGTGAAAACTGATTGCCTTCCCTCAGTTTCTTAAACAGTTAGTATTGGTCTGTTAGTTACATTAGCATAGTTTCTTTTCCAAGAGAGCATTTCTCAGACTTGTGGAGATCACGATTTTAAGTCCTATACAGTTGCTTGGGGATCTTGTTTATCTTAACAATATTTTAACACCATTTTAAAAATGCAATATAAAATAAAAATATATATAATGTGAATGCAGACACATGGCTGTTGTTCTAGAAGAGTTTTTTCCTAACTGTCACTGTGGTAGTTTGTCTTTTGAAATATGATTTCCTTCTGTTACTTGCTCTTGTCTCTTTAAGTAACTAATAATTTTTTTTTAAACTGCATTCAATTTGCAGTTTTCAGCTGCTGTTTATCAACAGGCAAGGAGTTTGAAGAGTTTTAGCAAATCCATAAAAGCACTTGCTTAGTGACTGATGTGCACAGCTAGTATTTATGTGGGTCAACAAGACTTTTTAGGGTTTTAGATGTAATTTTCCTACCAGGTGGTGGAAACATCTGTTAAAAGGAGTTTAATGTTTTGTGTAGCAAGTATTAATAATGTTATACTTCTTTGTTCATTATGCTTTCTAAGGAGCAACCTTTTGACATTTCTTTAGGTAGAGGCTATATGACAGTATATCTTTGTCAAGTAGGTGTCGCTAATAAGAAATTCATTATGCCTTTTGCAGAATTGTTTAGTCATACTTGGATGTACCAGTGTAAATAAATCCCTTTTATGCTTCAGATATTGGTAGATACCTTTTTCTTTTAGTTAGCATCTTAAGACATTAGCCAGTGTTTTACAGCCATTCCTTACACTTAAATGCGTTCCTTATGCTTACATTCTTACATATCTGTGCATATAATAAAGGAAAAGAAAGAACAAGAAAACGGCCTATAGCAGAGCATTAGGCTCTATAGCTCAAATCAAATAGACTTGAAGTTGTTTCCAAATTTATTTATGCTGTAAAATCTGATTTTTGTAACAGATAGAAATAATGGCAAAGTAATTAATCAATATGCTGGGATGCCTGTGAAAGTTGAAGTCTCAAATAAGGAATAAAATATATTAATAGAAAGTGGTTTTATAATGTAATCAAATCTTAATTTTTCATTTCTCAGATGATGAAGCATGCCTGGGACAATTACAGACAATATGGTTGGGGACATAATGAGCTCAAACCAATTGCCCGGAAAGGACATTCCACCAACATATTTGGTAGGCTATGTTTTCTGGTTTGTTTGTGAATTTGGTTTTTTTTTATATTTCTGTCTGTGTGTGCTCTTTGAAAGTCTGCCCAAACTTACTACCAAACTCTGTTTTAACACAAATCTTTTGAACTGTGGTTGACAGAAATGTTTGAATTATTTCAGTGGTATTTCGTTGAATTACTTTACTAACCTATCTTTTTGAGAGTAATATGTTCTTATTGTTGCAAAAACTAAGCTGTATTTATGTGCACTGTTACTTTGTGTGTGTGTGTGTGTGTGTATATATAAGTGAAAGTTCTAATGCACTGATGATATTTTGGGATGCAATGAATATAATTTTTTTTTTTTAAAAAAAGCCAACCCTATGTTGTCTAGATCTTTGTGTTTAATTCCATGAGAATCATAGAACAGTTTGAGTTGGAGGGAATATTTTAATTTAAAGATGATCTAGTCCTACCCCCTCTGCCATGGGCAGGGACACCTTCCACTAGACCAGGGTGCTCAGAGCCCCATCCAGCCTGGACTTGAACACTTCCAGGGATAGGATATCCACAGCTTTTCTGGGAAACCTGTTCCAGTGTCTCGTCACCCTCAGAGTTAAAAACTTCTTGTGGTACAAGAAAAAGGCACATGTAAGATGCTGAAAAACTACTAGTACCGAGGTGGAATTTAACGTGGCTATAAAAAAAGGTCTGGGTAAGGAGAAAGCAACATTATTACTTGAGGTGTGTGACTTGTGGATTCTGAACCTATAGATTGGAATGAAAGAAAAAAATTATGTTCAAAATATGGAAGTTTGAGGGTAGGGGCAAGTTTTGAAGAAATTCAAGGGATGAAGTGAGAATATTAGAGCAATGGAGTGTGAATATAAGTGTTACAAATGGCATTTATAATAGTATAAAATGTGAGGACGGTAAAGATCAAGAAACTGATCAAACCATCAGACTAGATGGCTTTTCTTCCTTAAAATATCAGTGTTCTATGGCAGTACTGCTTTTTTTTGGTGTAAATGCACCGAGATAGATCAAATATAATAGTGATTAGAAAATGACAAGCATTTTGTTTGTACTCAAACCAGGAAAGGATCCTTTTTTTGACCCCAGCTCTGTAGGACTGATGGTTCCAAAAAAACCCACATGGTCACTTGGTTGTCACTGCTGAGGACTGAGCCCTGGAGGTCACTTACATTCATCCTCTGGTATATCAGAACACATAACCTTCGTGTTAGTAATTAAGGTTAAGTCTGGATTGGTCCAGGATGCACAGCACCTAAGATGGCTGAGCTGAGAAGTTTGTGCATTTATTCTGAAACACAGTGGAGAGCTGCTCGAACACTAGGAAGAATTTTCTGAATTCTTTTCAGGGTTTCATACTGTGTTCATCCATTCTCGTATTTGAGGAAGATACAACTTTATCATAACCCCTTTTTACACCAAGAATGATTGTGAATATACTGTGTATACCTTAATTATGTTAGTATTGTTTATAAAATTTGCTTGAAATCAGGGTGGTTTTTTTGACTTTTATTGTAAGGCAGTTGACTAATGGCTTTGTGTGAGGTGATTTCTCATTGTAATTGATATTTGTATTATTCATCTTGCTTTAAACCTTGAATTTGTTTCTTGTAGGTGATAGAATATGGATTTGGATTGTGTAATTGTCTCATTTTTGGTGCTTAGTGCCTGAACCTAGAATAAAATATTTTGACTTAAATCAAAATTTGGTTAGCTTTTTGTTTTCATTCATAGAGAAAAAGTAAGGTCACAGAAGAACCCTATTCCAAAAGAAAAGTCAAAGGATGTTTTTCAAAAGTATTTTAATATTTAAAGGATCTTTCTAATTTTTTTTGCTGTCCCTTTTCCCAATCCCCTTAAATTTTATCTCAAAACCATTCTTATATCTTATCAAATAAACAAATGATTTTCTTTATATCCAAACACTTTTTCATTACATTTATTTGCATGTTGAATTTCAACCTTAAATAAGTTGTGGATATGGAGTGTGGAGGAGAACTTTTAACTAGGCACACTGCTCCTTTCCCCTCCTGCTCCCAGCAATGGAAGGAGAACCTTGAAGTTAAATTTTCTGCAATACTTAAAAAAATCTCAAATGAATAAAACAAAAAGAAAGCCCACAAATAAACACACTTCCTCCTTGGAAGTTTATTGAAATCCATAGGAGAATAATTTCAGCTGCTGTACTAGACCAGTCTGCAGTAAGGAGTGTTTGACTCAACTGCAAACCTTGATGGCATTGTTGTCTTCTGGTCTTGTGCTGGAACCTGTTTTTTTACAGTTCAGTACGGAATGAAAGCTGATATTGTTCTGATGTTATTTTACTTCTTTATATTCCCTTATACAGAAAATGCCTGGATCAGGGGGAGTTGTCTGAGAGAGGGAAGATGAACTAAGTTAGTATGTACAGGAGAAAAAACCATCTGGACTGGGCGAGGAGTTCGATGAATGAAAGGGAGAAGTCTTAGATGCAGCTGGTACTAAGCGTAGTGCAAGGAGAGAGTGTGAGGCTGAAGGAAAGACTGCAGGAATAGGCTTCTGCCATAACAGACAAAAGGACTTTTCTTAGACACCAGGAAAGTACTGTGAAGTATTCTTAGATAATTTGTTTGCTACCTTGTACGTTGGCACTGCTTTAATTTCTACTAGAAAAATACATTTTGAAGCTCACTGTGATTTAGTTTTATGTTATGACTAATTCATGGCTTTCCTTTATATTTTTTCCAGCTGATGAAATGGGATCTGACAGTGAAAAATCTTTAATGTTCACGTATATGATCATGTCTTTGTTGAATTTAGATGCAATTCTGTTGCTTAATTTGCCATGTATAATTTTAGATTAGCCTTGGTTTGTAACCCAAACTCTATGAACTAAGGTTCTTTCTTCATATGGAAGGAAAACATTTTTATAATGTTTTGTTTTTAATGTGAGTGACGAAGTATTTTGAAGCAGTTATGAATTATAATTTCATTGTAGTCTTTTCTCTCCATTCCTCCTCTGCGTACATCTAACATGTCTCCTAATGAGTCTGGAGGACTTCAGCTTTTTTCTCCTTGGAATGCTTATTCTTTAGAATGATGTACTTTTAAAGTTTTGGCATTGCTTTCTGAAAGAAATTGAAGGCTTTTTCCACATTAAAGTTTCTGCTCCTCTTGTTACAGTTAACTCTAGCAGCCAGTTCCTATGCATCTGTCCTTCTAAAATCCACATGCTATATTGTGCCATTTAATTTTTAGCCAAGTCATGTCATTATTGCTCAAGGCTATTTTATGTGGAAAACTTTTCTAAAATACATAATCTTGCAGTATATATTAAGTATACTCGATATAAGAATAGAATCAGCTATTGTTCATTTGGTGGGTGGTTGATGGGGGGGAATGTGTGTGTGGAAATTGTCCTTTCTACCAACAACTGTCTAGGCTGTTTTGTTATTCCTAATTCTTTGCCAATCTCTATTACCCCTAATGTCACCATTCCCAGCAATATTTGCCTTCATAGAAGGATTGCATAATTATTTTTGAGCTCTCATGCTAGTTTTAATAAAAAGATGCTTAGCAAAACTTGTTTTTATTATTCACCTGAAAGATGATGTGACCCAAACTATTTTCTGCTGTTACTGCTGTCTGCAGTCTTCCATTTCAATTCCTAGCACATCTGTGAGATTCTGCAAGGAGATGGTATCGCTGGTTGACGCTGCAACCATTTGCATGAATCTTTGGGAAATCAGGTTTACTGATAACTCTCAAGTGAGGTAAACATGATTCGATGTGGAAGGCAAATAAGTCATTAGTCTTCTCTACTTTTGTCCAAAGCAGTGTATATCCATATCTATGCCAAGAGGAACGCCAGTGTTTCTAACATTGCAAGATCTAGCAGGGTTCAGACTGGGGTCAGAGAAGGGGAGACCAGGTGGCCTGCTCTGCTCTTATAAATCTTAGTTTTAAGTCATTAAAAATATGAGGAAGGATAAACTTTGTAAACTTAAAAGCAAGATACTCTTTGCCTCACTGAAGCATGCCAACAGGAACATATATGGGCTTCCTCAATTTATTAGCTTGAAATTTTATAATGAAACCTGCTAGAGTTACTTTAGTTGGCCTGCAGCTAGAAACTGTTGCCAGTCTTCTTCAGATGTCTGACTGTAATTTGTAAAGGAGAGCCTTCTAAAAATACTCATCAGTCAAACTGGGTAGTCAGTCAGTAGTAATCTTGAATAGTACCTCTTCAATTGCTGGGTCACAACAGTAGTATGGTGCTGCTTCGGGAAAGTACGATTGGGAATTGGTGAGGTTTTTAAAGATATTTACATTTAGATGACATATAAACCAAACCTTTATAGGTTTTCTGTTGGTGAAACAGGATGATAACTTACCTGTTTTTGAAAAGGCTGGTATTCTCAAGATTTGTTATTTGTTCCTACCCCATAAGATGAAATATGAAAGGCAAAGTACAGCAGAGAGGTGTAAATTTTTTTTTCCAGTTTAAATTTTAATTTGTAGCTCTTCCGAATGTTGTAGCAGCTAAGCTTAAAAAAAAGTGAACCTTTTTTGTTGGGCTGCTTAAATTGCTGGAATAATTTGATGGCAGCCTCAGGACATTATTGCAGAGTTGGGTTTCTATGGGATCTGGATCAAGTTCTCATTAGAACACAAAGGATGGAGAGAAAAGGCTGATGGAAAATGATGCATGTAAGATAATGAGCAAGCGTGACGAACACCGAGCTTTCTTCAGAAGGTTTTCTGAGTTTAACCAAAACCAGAGTAGTTGATGATACTGTTGGACTCTCCTGCTGTAATGAAATCTGATTGGATTTGCGTTTGAGGATGAGAGTAACTGTCTGAAACATACTGTTTGAGGGTGATTTGTCCCTGCACTTGTTTGATGACCTGTAGGTGAACATCAGTCCAAATATGCTTCAGAGTTTTAAGGTGTATGTTTGTGGTATCTTTTACTTCGGTATTGTATGAACTGATTACTGTACCATCAACTGTA